AAAAAAATAAATACCAAACAGGGTCTTAAACTGTGTGCTTATTTGACTAACCGAACAAGAATTAGGTAGTGTCTGGCCCAATAAAAGACGAGAACTGGGCCGGGCCGATCTAGATTGACATCCTTAGACCACGTGCATGTAACCAAATTTTGATCTGGAAAGTAGTAGGGAGTTATTGATTTTTGGGTCAACAAAATCTTGTTATCTTCCTAAAATATGGACCATTTTTTCAACTTTCAAATCTTCAGATTCTATCAATCAAATCATCTACAAATTCAAAGCAAACATTTTCCTCATGGCTAGAAGTGACAATGGACAAAGGTTTATTTATTACAACTTAATTTAATTACACTTATACTCCTTAATCTTTGCTCATTATAACAAATATTTCTTTAATTTTTTTATCGAATTCTTATGTACAACCTTTCGTTAATTAGTACAATAAAGACACTAGTACAGGAAAATTTTAATAGAAATTGTACCGACACTGATGTGGCAAAATATGATTGAACTATTTTTTTTTTCTTTCTTTTTTTTTTTTTTTACATTTTCCAATGATGTCGCGCCATATATTGTCTGTAAAATTTTTCTGTAAAAAAATTCTGTACTTGTAAATTATTCTAATTAGTACATCTCACCCTTAATGGTAATTTATGTTAAAATATTTTGTTTCCATTCTTTGGAGGGATAAATATTTTTTTTGTACTTTTTTATTTTTTATTTTTTTATTTTTTATTTTTGAATTTGATGGGAAAATAAGAGATACAATATTTCGATGGATTTTTTGGATTTAAATTCTTATCAAATACAAATTGTTTTAATCAATGGAAATTTTGAGTATGAGAATGCCATGAAAAATCGTTAGGAACATAAATGTTATAATGAGTAAATATTGAGAACCTTGAGTGTAATTAAAATGTGGTGCTAAAAATAAAAATTGTGGTGAGAATGTAATAAGATGTTCAATTTAAAATACCCAACGTGCCCAGAATGTTTATGAATTCAATTTGGATAATGTAAGTGAAAATTGCAGGTGGTGGCAAGCATTTCTTGTGTTATTGGTGGTGTACTCAGCTTGGTCATCCCCATTCGAGCTTGCATTTAGAGAAATGGGAACGGGTCCACTCATGCCTGTTGATTTGGTGGTTGATGCCTTCTTTGGAGTTGATATTATTCTTACTTTTTTCGTTGCCTACTTGGACACATCAACTTATTTGCTAGTCGATGATCACAAGAAAATAGCTTTGAGGTATACATTTTCATCTTGTGTTTGAATAATAAAATTGGCTGATCAATATAAAACGAATATTCTTTGAGAGAAGGCAGGATTGTAATTGGACTAGAGGGAAGGTTTTCTCTTTTTTTTTCTTTTTTTTTTTTAAATATATTCACATGCTTCTATTTCAGGTATGTGTCGAATATGTGGTTCCCAATGGATGTGGCCTCTACCCTTCCATTCCAATCCATATACAAACTTTTCTCTGGGAAAACACACCATGGAGATGTCTTTGGCTTCCTCAACATGCTCAGGCTCTGGCGCCTCAGGCGTGTCAGTGAATTCTTTTCTAGGTGCCATTACATGCCCATGACCTTAAATGTTTTCATTGAAACTTTTCAATTATCAAGTCCTACAAGTACTTTTATCTTCCCCAACTAAAGTTTTTCCATCGAATGCACTACATCCATGCATACTTCTTTACTACGAAGAAAATC